GCTGGAAATCATAGACCATTGGACTGAGTCTCAGTGGCTTAATAGTTTACGAGCTCGCCCTGTAACTGGAGGCTCCTGGATTCGAACCCCAGTGGGTGATTACTGATGAAAAATCCCAGACACGGACGAAACGGCTGTCCAGTACTCCATGGTTTTCCAGTGGTTCTCTAAGTGATATCAGGTCTTGATCAAAATTAGAAAAAGGGTTTTCACAATTCAAGCCTGCATTTCAATTACACTTATGTCGAGTATGCTAAACGATATGATACAAAATACCAGGTATAACTAGATCCTACTATTTTTTATCATAAAAATGCAGTTATATATAGGAGTGAAGATTTTACTTCTTTCTCACTATACGAAAAATTTAGTTTTAATCATACTCCATGCTATTAGAAGTAGAGAAGAACAAATATCCTATACTGTCAACAACACTGTATTTACTTTATATTCCAGTGAATTCAGGACAAACAGAATTCCATGTCTTATCTCATAGCTTATTTAATGAGTGACTCGCCATATTAGAATGTTTATTTATATAAATTTATCTAATAATTATTGGTGATAAAATAAAGTTTCTAAACAAAAAGGCTGATGTGTTTCATGTCTGAATTTTCCATCCTTTATCATCTGAAAGGGAGTGTATCATAAAATTTAATTACTAAAGCGCAGGTTTAAATTGTCTTTTGCTTGTGTTATCGATTCTCACTAATATGCTTTGCAGAAAAAAACCTTGTTGGTCGTATAGTTATCTAAATGGAAACTAATAGACAGTACGGTATCTTTCAAACATTAACAACTCACTAATTTTAATTGAACACAAGTTAGTAACTAGTGTAATGTGTCTAGCCCTTTGTTTGGTGTAGACTGAATTCTGTCAGTCAAGTTTGCAATGTGGACACCATTCTACATGGTCTACACCAAAACAAAGAACTAGACACATCATACTAGTTACTAGTGTCCAATCAGAATATCCAATACAGTCCTACAGGAGGTTAATCGCGAGCCCGAATAGCTCAGTGGTAACTTCTCTCACTGCAGCACTGGGTGACGCGGGTTCGAATCTCAGAAGGGACATGAGTTCCTTCAAGGTTGTAGATTTGCCTTGCTAACGAGTGCCAACTTGTTCAAAAGCTAGGTCCAGTGCTTCCTGCCGATCGCCTCCAACCATCTTATGTCACAGGAATTACTAGTTAGCTGGAAAATTTAAAATACACACAAACATATTGATGATACACTGTCAAACAGTATACAACTATTTGGATTCACCAATTCATTCAGCGAATATATGACGACGCCATATGTCAAGTGATTAGCAGTGGAAAGCTCAACTAAGCCTTCAAAATGAGAAGAGGAGTAACACCAGGCTGCATAACATCACCGATTATATTCCTGATTTAGGTGCACTGGATCATGCAGCAAATAGTGCAGAGCGAGGAGACAAGCATATATAGGGTCGACAAGAAAACCCTAGATTTAGACCTCATGGATGAATGATATTCAACTCCACACAAAGTAGGTCTCCATGTGAAGACCAATAAGCTGGAAGAAGAAGTAGCAAAGACAGGAATTCAAGCGAATATTCAGAAGTCAAAGGTTATGAAAATAGCTTACCAACAACAAAAAGCATCAATCACTATTAACAGAGGGAATTTGAACCAAGTCACTTCTTTTACTTATTTGAACGGAATCGTTCCAATTAAAGGCACCATGAATGGAGTTGCCAAAGCCAAGATCGGAAAGTCAAACAAGGACATTCATTAAACCTAAATCAATGTGGAGATCTGCTGTAATAAGCATAAAGAACAAGGCTCAGATTTCTAACACTAATGTCAAATCAGCACTTTTATATGATTCAGAGACCTGGCGTGTTACGAAAAGCCTTTCTAACAGGCTTCACTCTTTCAGCGACATCTGCTTTCTCTCCATCAGGTAGCCAGGGATGATAAGCAACAAGTAATTCTAAGGACAAACCATCCACTAACTAATTGACTAACAAACATGTAGACGGAAAATGAGATTGATCAGACACACGCAGAAGAGACCGCTGAGTGGGATTGCGCGCCAGGCCGTCGACTAGAACCTGACTATTAAACAAGGAGTTGTGTGTGCGTTCGAATGTGACATAAGGGAGATGGTGTGAAAAGGAGATGAGAGATTAAAGACAATCGTCAAGCTAGCTAGCTAAAGACAACTACAGAAAACACGATGAAATGAAGATTTGCTAGTGAAGTCCTAAGCTCCACTCAAAACCTAAGGGAATAATAATAATAGTAGTAATAATGAATTCACCAGCTTTGGTCACCTAATTACTGCCAGTACTCACTAATTCACAGTTTAACTCACTGAGGACTGTGACAGAACTTAAAGTGAAACTTCAGTATTCATGATTTCTTATCTAAGTGAAATAAGAAAGCAGATATTGTTATTATTATTATTTATCAGTTGAATAGTGTAATCTAATGGCTATCAAGGGAATAAATGGATACAATTAAAAGTTAAATACATAAACATGTATAATCATTTCAACTGTTCCATTCTTCGATCGGAATTTATATCTATTCATGTAATTTGATATATATATATATATCTGGTTATTATGCAAATTAAATCTATTTAAGTTATTCTGCAAGCGAATTTTTTAGAATTGTTTACATATACACACCCTACAAATGGGTGTTGAAGTGACTCAGAATAAAGCAAGGAGAATTATTCAAGCGAATTATCCTGGTCATTAAGGCTTGCTTCATTGATCACGTTTGAAATATCACGTAGCAAATAGAATGAATTAAGTGAAATCGTGATAGAAAAAGTAATCAAGAGGTGTGTGTTTTTATTTATTTAGTTAGTGCTCAGACAATAAGTGGATTCAGCAATGATGCTGAAAACACATTAGTTTGTATTATTTATGCATCATTCGAATAAAACAGTATATATATATTTAGATTTGTATTTATGTATATATATGTGCATAAACATGATAGTATTTTTTTGGTTATAAAGTGAAGACTTCGTTTTCTGTTTACTCAAGCTAACACTTCTAGCGGAAATACATCCTAAAATTAGGCAAACATGCATCACATTCTCTTGCTTACAAAACTAGTTATTATGGTCTGCATGCTAACAGATTAGCAGTTAAGCGTGAATTGGATTAACAGTAGGGATCATGACTGATGAATCATATCAGCAGTCTGAAATGACAGCTATCTTTATATCATGTAAATAAAAAGAAGTGATTGTCCACAAAGCATGAGTATCATTGGTGTTTAGTGTGATATTTTGATGAGGAAGGTTGCACATATCTTATAAGCATCATTGTGATTGTATCTGTAGTTTCCTTAGAATTTTGTTACATTTAATTAAGACAGTCAGAAGATAAATATTGTTAGATGACAACATTTTGAAAAGACAGCTGTCGTACCGAAGAAAACTATCTTTATTAAACTACCATTCAAGGGTGATCAAATCATGCAACTGATGGCTCATAGGCTTCAGTCAGCTATCAAGTGCATCGAGAGATACGTTCCAATGGTTGCTGGCGACCACAACAGGTTCATGCACTATTCGGTCCTTTTATATTCTGCAATCCATGTAAACCACAGTGTCGGAATCTGGGTTTTTTATCTCACCTCAGTAGATGTGCATGTCCAAGAGTTCATTTATAAGCACCAGACGTTCGCATTTATTCTTTCACCTTTGCGAGGAACACTTCTACTGTGTGAAGGCAATGAATAAGACTTATAAGGCAGAGGCTATAAGCTCGTGGCCATTTGACAGAGAGGAAGACCGAAGTCTATCCACTTTCTGCAGTATCAGATCGTTTATAGGGGCTTCTGAGATGCCATCGGAAAAAACACGCTCCTAAATGGTTATTAAATGACATAGAAAATCCATATATACTTAATCTGAATAGAAATCCATTATCAGCCATTGAAAAGCGTTTACAAATGTGTGGTTACAAGGTCATCATGAACGACTTTTCTCAATTAGTTCAATGTTATTAAAGGTGATGGAAGCACTTTGGATTAATCACATACGTCCGAAACAAATGACCTCAACCTTCGCTTGCCATGGACTGCCTGAATTACTGAAATACGATTGGTTGTAAATATACTACTTTAATTCTATATGACTGATGAATTATCAAACATTTTATTTCATTATTATGAATTATGCTAACTGTTGAGAGATTGTAAAGAAACTAGACAATGATATCATCTCGTAACATTTGTATTCTTAATGCCTCATTTAAATTTATTAAGTGGGACTAACTGTATTACTTCAGTCCTACGCATCACACTAAGCTTGTCCGTAATGCGAATAAACGCCAACTACGAATGCTTCCAGTCATTTGATTTCCAGTCTAAAAGACCAGGATGTCAATGAATTACTTTACCGTCGTTTCTTTCGTTTCTGAGTCATCGTCTGTATCACTACGTTGAATGAGTTGTGTTACAGAGATTCACAAATCCAATAGAACTTATGACATAACCAGTTTTTGCAATAGTAATTTGTTCTCTTCTTAAAACTTACAAAACGATAGTCACTACATTGAAGTCCACAGTGTTCTGTCAGAATTCTAACTTCTCTTGTAGATGAATACCTGAGTTTATGGAACAAATTTGTTTCATGTCAATTACGTGGCTCGGTTTGGATAAATAAATTAGAATAAAAGATTATTTAGTATGTAATCGCCTTGTATTCAGTGGTTAGACGATATTTTCTGAAGAGGAACCTCAGCATTATAACAGGTGAATGCTTTGATGACTTCAACAGAGTCACTTAAACACTGATTAAATTAAAATGCTTACTAACACTTGCATGGATATACTTCCTGTGAAAGTTCTATTCATTGTAAGAGCATGTGATAAGTAAGTTTCCTTGCAGACAGACTATCTGGAACACACTTGTTATCGACGTATTTAGCTTTCTTCATTAATGCAAAATATTTGAAGGTTGCAGTTTCCATAACAAACATTTTAATATTTTTTTACTTCTAGGTTACGACCGATCTATTCCAGGTTATTCTAGATTCAGAATAATTGGAGACGTTGGACGAGGAGAGCATACACTACAAATTATAGATGTTCAACGTGATGATGCTGGAGAATATGAGTGTCAAGTTACTCCGGTACCAGTTAATAATCATCCCTTGTTAAGAAGAAAAACATATCTTGAAGTTCTCAGTAAGATGTTTATTGATAAGATAAAAATGCATAATGTAATTCTAGAATTTAAGAAAATTTTAGCTTTTTTATTACTCATATATGTCCAAACCAAGTTCACTTTTAACAGTTTGAAAAAATTTGGGCATTGGGTATATGATATTCATTATAATAATGGTATTTTGTATTTCCAAATGAATGAAAGACAAAACGATATTGTCATGCAGCTTATACAGCGGTTATTCACCTGTACATAAAATGTGTTTGTTTGTTTATACTGATAGTATATAACGTTTCCTGATGGATAACACATTCAGCCATGAAGGAGAATTGTCACCTGATTACAACAGTGCGTCGATGGCACAGCAGTTAGGACTCTCGCCGATCATGCAAATGGTCCGGGGTTCGATCCCCTGCCGACGCACACCTGATATCAATGGTCGGCCTGCACAATTTTGGCTACCGATATCACATACTGAAAATTCCATACTTGTACTAAAAATACAGTGTGGAATCAAGCTATAAAAAATATGACATTAGAATGCACATTTATAAGAACTATCTAAAAGTTTTTCTCAACCTTTAAGAAGTTTATTTAATTCAGCAGTAGTTAAAGTACTATTCAGTAAACTCCTTTAATTTTTTGGGAAGAATCGACTTTGAAAAGTTGCTGTGGTAAATGCTAATTACAAATAATATTGAACGAAATTTTAGATGACTTGCAGTTAAAGTTCCATACAAAAAAGTACTTTTGGTAGTACTTAAAACACTTCTTTTCAGTTTGAATTTAGGTTTATTGACACACAAATAAATTTAACATATTTGCAATGCAATTCATGATCCTAGGATGAGTTTTTCAATGTAGCAAATTCCCTATAGTATGTTTTTGCAAACAGTGTTGGGGAAACTACTTAATGTTGTTTGAATATAATTTAAATAAAAAGAACATTAAAGTGTAGTCTAGCGTGAACACAAGAGCAGTTTTTCACCTAACGCATACTACAAAACATTAGCGATATCAGCCTCACTCTTCTGTGAGTACTGTCTACAAGTATAAGCTAAAGATCAAATAAATAATCATCTCTAAATATGCCTAAATTTTTCTTTAAATGACATTGAACTAAGGGGAAAACTTGGCTGAAATTCTGTTTGATTGCATTTTACGCTTTACACAAATTATAATCATAGGCGTAATAACAACGTCAAACACTATTGATGAACTTTAACATATCATATTCTTTAGGAATAATAAAGCTATTTCAGTATCCATACATTTCACCATGAGGTATTTTACTTGCTATCCCTAACCACGCCAAACAGTCTTACATTTATAGTAAAAGCACTAAGATATAACTACACATATCACTGAAGACGTTATTTTTTGAAGTCTGTGCCTATAGAGAGTAAATACTACTATATATAAAGTAAGTTTAATGTGAGCTGATTGAAGACAGTCTGTAAAAACCATTAGGCCTAGGTTCCCTGCCCTTTGACATTCGTCAGTATGACATCTTCAACTTCGTTAGAATAATGTCCTTTTGGAGAGCTAGGAAGCATGGTATCTAGGTGCAAATTATTATTATTCCCTTGGGTTCTTAGTGGAACATAGAGCTTCAACAATACATCTCCACTTTCTTTTATTTCCTGCCATCCTCTTAAGCTAGGTACACGATTGTCCGTAGTCTCTCATCTCTTCCTCGGCACATGATCTCCTCCATGTCACCCTCGCACTGACGACCCACTTGTCGCTTCCCGTTTGCGTCCCACTTAAGTGATAGGCGATGTCATTCAACGGTTTTTACAGTGTGTGCCCTATCAATCTCCATTTTCTCCTACATGTTTGCTGAGCGATAAGTTCTTGGTTAGTTTGTTTCTACAGTTTCTTGTTGCTGATTCTTTCTGGCCATTTGATCTTCAGTATGGAGCTAGAGAAGGCAGATGCTGATAAACGTCTGCAGTGGCCTATTGGAAATCCTTTTCGTGACGAGCATTGCAAGTTCCTGACCCTCATAGAAGGACCGACTTGACGTTGGTATTGAAAATCCAAATCTTTTTCATTATGCTGGCTGAGTGACAGCAGCAGATTTCCAAACTGGTTTAAGGCTGATGAGGGCGTATCTTGCCTTTCTGATTCTCGCTGGCTGGCCTTCACATCTTCATTCGTTCCGCCGGCCTGTAGTTGAAACGATGCTGGCTGCCTAGATAAGTGAAGGAAGTCACCTCTGTTAAATCTCTCACATTGATGTTGATTGGTGCTGGTTGTTGTTGCTGTTCATATTGGTTGGTTATCTTCATCATCTCTGTCTTCTCTATGTTGACCTGCAGTCCTGTCTTCGCTGCCTGCTTCTTCAGCCAGTTTGTTGGTTTTCGCCTGCCTGCAAGTCTTCGAGTTTATTTGACATTAGACATATATCATCTGCGAAATCCAGATCACTCTCTACAGTCTAATACATAATTCATTCCACCACAATTAAGAATATCATCGGTGATAATAGGCAACCAGCCTTGTCTTACTCCTGTATGCACTTCGAATGCCTCGCTGAGTTTTCCGTTGTAGATCACCTGACACGTGGCATTGTCATATATCTAGCTATTGAATGAGGTTGATAAAGACTTGGGCACTGCACGCCGTAGTGTTGAAGTGGTTTCCAAATTACTTCTCGGTCAACGCTGTCTGTCGAAGGCCTTTTCGAAGTCGATGAAACTGAGGTAGAGGTTTGACTGCCATTCTATGCTTTGTTCTGTGATAATAATGCGTAGAGCTGCAATTTGATCAGCACATGACTTGCCTTTCCTGAATCCAGCTTTTTCCAGGGCGGAGTTTTGTGTCCAGTGCATCTTTTGTTCTCTCCAGGATAATGCGACTTAGTATTTTACTTAACGTAGACGAGCGCATGATTCCACGCCAGTTCTTGTACAGGCCTCCTAATTGTTGCCAATTAAAAGTTCAACACGGCCATCCTTGTCGTTGGTGCTGACTGAATTCTATCAGTCAGGATTGCAATGTGTGCGGCTAGCGGTCTTTGAGCGCAACGTTTTTATGTTAGATGGCTGGAGGTGATACTCTTCGCTGACGAATGCCAAAAAGCACGAAACCTAGGTCTAAGGCTTCCTACCAATCGCCTCCAACAATCTAGAAACGAATATTTTTAATATACACTGTGTCGCATTCATTATATACTCTTGTGAAAATTTAACCAGGAATATTTTCATCCAGTAGAGCCAAAGAGGTGATTTACAATCTCACAGTTTAGATAAAAGTGGGCTGCTATAAAACAAAAACAACTCGATCATTCTAACTGTTAAAAATGAACGAAAACATACCTGGTCATGTGGTAAAATTAAAACTATTTTCCCCATTAAAAAACTTGTTATCGTAGTTAAAATCAGTCAGTTTGGTTAATTTTAGTATGTCTACATTTCAGAGGGAAACATTACTCGGAAAATTGACTTCATATCACAAAATGTTAAATAATTTTGTATTTCATCAATTTATATTATTGATAATAAAAAAACAATGTGGAAAATAACAACAAAAGAACATTTACACTCATTTCAGAAAAAAAGTTGTTTGAACGCTTAGTTATGGATGCTTTTAATAGAATTATACCTGATAATAATAATAACATTTATACTGTTAGCCAATTTAATTTTAGTAATTTAGAAAATTCCCATTAAACATTTTGAAAAAAGCGACAAGTTGAGCGAAGAAATATATTCCTTTTCAATTAGTTCCTCGTCATTGGCTCTACACTAATATATCGTTTCTTTTACATCCAAACTTTACTAATCATGTGGTTATTTTAGTCCATAAGAATTATCAGTTTTAGGCACAGAGGAGTGAAAATAAGAGGTTAAAGGTCATCAAAACAAGTAGGTGTTAGTAAAAAGATACCTAAGATTTGAACGAAGGATGACAATAATTACAGAATTCAAGATTAATTACTTCGTAGGGGTTAGCTACAAGTTATTACACCATCAAGAAATCTGCAAAATAACGATGACTAAGAAGAAAACTTTTTGTAAAATAATTACAGTTCACTTGCACAGAACTCAAATGAAACTCCACTTTCTAAACTTGAAGACCTTTTAAGTCCTGACTGCATAAATATCATTAGAAAATTCAACAGAGTTGACCGTGAAGTAATCTGGCAGTCACTTTAACACTACGGAATGCCCCGAACAGCCATATGAGGATGCCACTGAAGACAGAAGTATGACAAGGCTGTCTACTGTCACCGATCATTATGCTAATTTTAATGGACTAGATCGTGCAGTAGAACGTGGGAGAGCTACAAAACCTACATAAGTTGGACTGAAGAAAAGACTTTGGAAGATCGAGACTCTGTGAATGACTTATGTCTGATGTCACACAAACAGGCAAAAACAAGCAATTTGGCGGAAGAGGCAGAGAAATATGAGTTTGGCATGGGTCCAATGGTGATAGGGAAGATTAAATAATTGCAGGTGTTTGCAAAACTCTTGAGATATTTTATTAAAACTGAGTGTATATGGTGGGTTTTTCAGTTGATAAAATCTGTTGGAATGAGAGTTTCTTTGGTTTTATACTGCTACACTTGCGTGATCCGATTATGGTAAGAAACTTCTTACACAACTGCTAAGAAGATATCGTACTTATCAGTAAACTTTAATTCAGTGCAATTGATCTTGTATTTTGAGCTGATTGATTCCACATACCACCAGATGACCGCATACTATTCATACCGTAAGAATAATAGAGATGGTTTATCACATGACCTTCCAGATCTACGACAGACAGTTGTTTCACTCTATTATATCAGATGAAAGTAGCAAACCCATTTTTATTACATCCTATATGGAATGAGAAACCTATGGGTATAACATTTTATAGAAGTCAAATTAGTACTTGTAGTAGGCAGAAAATAAAGCCAGCTTCTCCGCTGACCTAGACACTATTATGCAACACAGTAATTCGTTTCTCAAATTCAGAAGTTTCTAAGCTCGTGAAAGCACACTCAGATGTTTACCCATACAAGTTTACAGGCTGAACGAATACATATTTTACTGCTGAATAACACCTTTTTCCTACAAAAAAAGAATTCAAAAGATTGTCTTGAAATGGTAATTTCAATAATTAGTCCAAATAGTGATTGCATTTCTACTTGAGCTGGCTGGATAGTAAAAACAAAGACAAATAGTTTTGCTTGGTGCTTTGCAAAATATACACTTATTTAGTTTAAAGTGCCAAGTAAGTACCCACTGATTAGTCCCCAGTGGGCATTCGAAAACACTCGATATCTTTACTGAAACAGTATAGGTCGCACTCTTTATTTATAATATTTTTCACTTCCGCCTGTCAGCTAATCCTAGACTTCCTAATGGTATCTTTGTCAATGTCTTTCCTGTAAAACAGTTGTTTCAAGTCTTAGCTACACTGCCTTGAATAATTTGTTATGTAATCAAAGACTGATTAATTAACACGTCAACTTCTATTCTTTCTTTATCACTGCAATGAATAAATACAGTTAAACCGAATGAGCCTCAAATTCTCTACCAGAATGTTCAGTTACCAGACAAGAAATTGATAATATCACAACCTGATCCAATTGCACGTATCACTTTGGTTTGTATTGCTGCTGGTGGACGACCAGCACCTAGTTTCAAATGGTTACTTAATCGTCATGAGATTCCAAATTTAGAGACAAAACCCAAAACAGGAATGAGTCCTGGGGAAATAACAAAAATAAGTAAGTTGTTTACTTTCATTGTGAGTGATTTTTCATATGCCAAGTAGATAAGAGGAAAGAAATCAATAATATTATGCATTCTCAATCCACTTTTAAGATTATTATCAATTGCACACATAAATCATTGTCATATGGTCTTATATGTTCGTGGTGAAATTTACAGTTTGAAATAGGCAGTGACAAATTTCGACGTGTTTTATCAGTAAAAGTTGAATCAGAGAATACAACTTTAGTTCTCAGCCAACTGAGTACATAGTTTATTAAACACTGACGTAGGTTGATTAGATAGGACGACATAGATCTGGTAAAATAAGAGATAATTGATAAATGAGGGAACACGTTTTTATTAATACTTGCAACTTCTGCTGGATGTAGTTGTCTAATACCACACCTCATAAGTTCAGCGTAGTATATTTACTGGTTTGTTAAAACAATGAAAAAATCAATACGAATTATGAAATGATTAACATGGACAACAATGAGTGTGCACTCATATACTGTTGGAGTAATTTAGCGTGTGATAAAGGATTGATTTTGAGAGATCTGTATAGGCATTCTTGAAAGATGACAGATGGACAGCTATTTCGTCCTATTTTAGGATTCTTCTTCAGTACGCAACCACTGGGGTTTGAACCCATGACCCTCGGGCTACAAGGCGAGCTGCTAGACCATTCAGCCACTGGGGCCCGATCCAACAGCCTACGTATGGTGGTCACGTTTTACGTATTGCCAATTAGCAGAAGTTGGAATCTGCAGGCCATTGGACCGGGTGCAATTGGCTGAATGGTGTACAAGCCCGACCTGAAACCTGAAGGTTCTGGGTTCGAACCCCAGTGGTGCCATATTGCTGAAGAGTCCCAAACTAGGACGAAACAGATGTCTAGTACCCCAAGGTTTTCCAGTAGTTCTTTCACTGATGTCAACTCATGATCAAACTTGTAATTAACCCGAAGTCTCAAGAAAATTTATATTTGAGAAAACACTCTCTTACGACACATGGGTCATTGGCGACAAACAAGTAGACTTGGAATGAAGAAGTGTTATCCATGATGTTTTGGGTTAGAGATATTGTCAAACAAAAAAATGAAAGATTATTAGGTCTCACTTTCAAAGGGATCAACAGGTTCATCTGCCAATACTGTAGAACTCTTTCAACAGTAACTGGCTTACAATTAAAGTTGGATGTGGATCATACAGAAGGGGTATAATTATTTTCTCTATATACATTTGACCCATTTGGAGTTTCTTAAAGTCCCGGGTGTCATGATTTTTTACATAATGTGTGATGTTATTCATTAATTCATTGTCTTTGCTTATAAATATTCCAAGTACATTCCATAATAGACTGAAGTCTTAATATTCACATTTTTGTTAAAAATTGTCTTTTTTGAGATACAAGCCAACTGTTCTAAAAGATGCTTCTGTGTATTTATTAGTATGAAACTCTAACAGAATTTTAATATTGCATTCTCTCCTCTGGTTTATATCATTTTCTAGACAATTTACTTAAAGTATGGGGAAAGTTGCATCCGACTATCAGTGTTGAAAATGATGGAGATCAATCAACTTTGAGCATACTGAAAGCTGGTTTAGAAGATGGGGATGAAATAATGTGCAGTGTATCAAATGCTGCAACACAAGTGCATCATGATGTACTCAAACGTAATTTATCGACAGCAGTTACTGTAGATATTCATAGTAAGTAGTCATTTATTTACATCGCTGATATTTTCTGAATAACTAATGTAACGAAATAATTGTTTGGAATATTCCTCCTGAACAATCTATCTACAATATTGATGCTTCTGTGGACATTTCAACCAACTTTGTAATTATTATCCTCTTTTCTCCTAGGCTGTATATCAATCATTGTTCTATCGTTTGCATTTCACCTGTTGACTTTGTTCACGTCTAACCTCCAATTTAGACGGTTCTCCTTGTGATTGTTTGATGGTTGATTGTAATTTTGTATGAATAAATTCAAGGTTGTGCCGTGGAAGTTTTGAGCTGTGACCGTTTACGGGGAGTGGCTGGTGTGTTTGATTCTTGCTGACAGAGTTCTGATCCTACCTTGTTGGAAATGTCCTAATTGATTCGCAAGTGCCTACTACTACTAATAATAATAATGATAATAATAATAATAATAATATTAATGACGACACCAATAATAAGGAATCTAAATCATCAGTAGTAATTCCATACAAGGAAGGAACCTCGAAAGCCTTACGCAGAATTCTCAACAAGGCAGGAATAAAAATGGCATTCAAACCCACAAACTCAATTAGAAACAAGCTTTGTCGGTTAAAGGATCAATCCTGTGGAGCCTTTAAAACAAAACAATTTAGTTTATCTCATACCTTGCAATGATTGTCAAGTCAAATGCATAGGTCAAACTAGTAGAACAGGGGCAGTCAGACTAGCCGAACATAAAAACCTAGCAAAATCTAGATTGGTTGACCCGAATAAGATAAAAAATCTAGAGAATAGTTCAGCTATAGCACTACATGCAGTCACACACAACCATACAATAGGATGGGATAGGATGACAGTTTTAAAATCTAATGTCACAGGGTATAGGGAGAGATTGATAACAGAAGCTTTGTTTATCGAATCAACTACAAATACATGTAATAGGAATGATTCATCACCTATCCCAGATTTCTGGAAAATTCTACTACCCACACGACAAATAGGAGAGAACAAAGAAAACTGTAAAACTCAAGTGTCAAAGTCGTGTGATCACAATTGATATGATTATGGACAATAAATTTTGTTCGAAACGTCATCGAGTAAATAATACTGTTTCACTGTGTGATACATCTAATAAACAAACTAATATGGAATTACTTACTACCACAGTGCCCAAGTTTTATACATATATTAATAGTGCTTACTACAGTTGATTTTTATTACCTAATATTATTGTAAAGTGCCTGTTCTGTACTGGAGAAACTCTTGACCTGCACAGCTGTCTAACAGCATTCATGAGATAATTTTGACTTTTAATATGTTATTATTGTTATTATGTAATGCCACAGTTTTTATCGCAAATAACTATCGTTTTGATGTATTCCGGGCACTTTGAGTCTGTGTGTCAATCGAGGAAGTTTTGGTTAGCTAAACAGAAGAACTCAAAAATTGGTTTCCAGAGTTCAGACCACAACACGACGGTTTTGGTCACTACAGCAGGTGTGTTAACTGGAATGCGTTGAGAAGAGGAGTATGTTTCATAACAGAATAATACCACAACAGGGACATCATGGAATACGTTTCTCAACAATACCCACTCAACACAACTCACTAGTCTGGTTGGTTTATTTCAGACTTACACAAATTATATAAGGGGTTCAATTAGCTAGCCCATATTGAATATTTAACACAAGATAGTCCTTGAAATAAGGTCAATGTTTCATGACAATGATATTTCTCACCTTTTATCTGACAACATTTATGCGATTGAAAAACAATTGCCTAATATGTTTTACTGAATACATAAATTTTTAAAATCTATGCCTTATTAAGTTTATGTTTATGTCAATAGAAAATAAGAATAAAAATTCTTAAAAGTGTTGTAACACGACAGGATAGAAAAACTAATAAATTTCACACTTTACTCAAATTATTTTCCTATAATGACAACTCAATGAATCTCACTGCCTTTAGTTGTTAGCTATGTTCCTCTCATATTCATCTGTCTCCTTTGAGTCTACACTAATTTACTGTTCCCCTTCAAGTATATGACTGAAACATGTCGCTTACTATCTGTTTGGTAACACCTCATATATATATATATATATATATGTATATATAAAACGTACTGTTTTCACCATGGAAATCATTGTCCAATAGAATGCCTGCCTCAAATGTTGTGTTTACTTATGATGAGAGAGGCAGAAAGCGGAACAATAGTCAATATTCTTCTTCTAATCTCCTCCCAACACTTACCACTCTAATGCATACTTACTTTTATTAGTGAGTGTTAGGGATTTTGACATTAATATTGTCAAAGACGCGTACTTTAAGGTACATATATATATATATGCATACATAAGTTTATTGCGTTATTATAAGAGGCATATTTGCGGTAACTTTGAGCAGAAAAATTGTTTAGAAAAACACGTTTTCTTTTTTCTCTGTCGAGAAAAATGTTTGTAAGTTAATAAGAGTCAAAGAAATTAGACTAGTTATTTACGCACTAAATATTTCCATTATTAGCAGACAGTTTAATTATTGAATATGTTGTATTCATTCATTCATTCTCTTGTATTAATGAAGAGTTTTGAATTTCGTCACAATCAGTACTGTAAGCTATTTTTGCATTCTTACTAATTTATAGATTAACCGGAATTTTTGAAGCTTTTATAGTATTTCATTTCATTTCACTTAAATACTCTTGCTCCAATTATTTTTGTGAATAGGAGCTAAACTCTTTTCTCCTCATAATAGTAGGTTAATAGTGTCTTTGGAAACAAAAGTACAACAGATCGATACAAGAGGATTAGTTAGTAATGCATCCATCATACAGAGAGGAAATACTACACTTTTAAGGGCACTTAATTATTATTATCCAATAAAAATTCATCTGCATGGTATAAAAATTAAAATAATGCTCACATTTTTGCATCCACATACAACGTTTAGCACGATATTCCCTGAGATTAAGTAAGATTGATAACAAAGAACAACTAGGCTGTGTCACCACTACTGAGAGAGATTCGAAGGAATTTATCTCTTCCACGTAACTAGGCATCATTGTTTCAGCTACAGGCGGTACGGATGTTTATGTGAAAGCCAGCCATGATCGAAAAGGCAAGACTCTCATAACTCTGAATACAGTATGAAAATCTGCTGCACTCAGCATGTGGAACAAGACTCGAATCTTCAATAATAATGTCACGTCATTGCTTCCAAATGGATTAGACACATGGCATGCACGTCACAAATGGGACTTCAAACAGGTCACATCAAGCGTTTATCAACAGTTGTCTTCTCCGGTTCCATGCTGAAGATTAGATGGCTAGAGAAGATAAAGTACAAGGAATTCTGGCAACGAATCAAGCAAGAATCTAACATTCAACTGTTATGCAGAAACAGATGTAGATGGGCTGAACATACGCTGAGGAGACCGTTGAGTGACATCACGTGCCAGGCCCTTTAGTAGAAACCGAATGGGAGAAGACTAGTTGGGAATTCAAAGGTGATACAGAGGAGAGCGTGTGAGAATGAAATGACAGCCTATCGGCAATCTTGGAGCCAGTCTCAAAAGACTGCAAAGAACAGAGTATAATGGTGATGTGCTGCTAAAGCCTTGGGACACAAAGGAATAATAACAGTTTACAAATAAGATTAAGATGTCATGTCATTCCTTAGATGCTGGTTCATTCTGTCCCAGATCCACCGGAAAAGACGTTCACTGTCATTCAGTGTCTCCAATGATACATATTGTGTTATATTTTAGTAATGCAGCCATAAAACATCCTAAGTCAGATATATCAAAAATGGATGATAATAACTGTTTCATCCGTGCTAACGTGATGAAAGTATATCTTATATTAAAGCTTACTGATGGATGTGAATCAACACTAGTAATAGAAGGAAAGACCTGCATAAATCCATTTGAACTTCAAAACGCTTATGTCAACCAGTATGTTCATCTACAAGGTACTTATTTGCCAAGAAGCCTATAGGTTAACCGCATTGTAAACAATGATGGCTGCTTATTCGCTTATTCCTGGTGTAAGTGTTGTAGGGAACTACAGGGTCCATAATACCTTGAGCTTAATTTGTTAGGCCTTACATAGTGACATAATGTTCTACTAGAACATTAGATTGGTTTTTGCATCGGTGGTTCAGCTGTAGAAAGCTGGCCAACCAGGGCATACATGGTCCGAGGTTCTATCCCCAACCATCGCACTACTTTGCCTCGTTAAGCTGGTAGTAAGGCTGTTAGAGGGGGGTTAAGAGTGAGGCTAACAACCCTATCTCATAAAAAAGAATATCACCGCTACCGAAACTTCAAAGCTCTTTATCTTGAAGCCTTATGTTCCACCCAGAATGTAAATGAATAGAAAAAACCAATAACACCTAAATAATTTTATGAATTTATATATTCGTTAACTTTTCTGAATGAATCTCAGTTGGCCATTAACAGCCGCATGAAATCTAATAATAATAATAAAACACAGTAATATTAAGCAGTTATATATTATGCAGTCCATTATAGAAAATGATGACATCTTTCAAATAACACTAGTGAAGTGATGACGTGTTCTCTTATAGAATCTCTTTTTCTCTCATTCCTATTATGCTTGAACAGCAACCATCAGCTTTCTTAAAATACTTTTGTAAACACCACTTCACATTGACCTTTTGCATCCCTTTCTCCATTTATCATCATACAGTTGAAAAGAAACGAGAATAAATAAGAAGCAGACAGTGGAGATATTAACAATAATAATAATCGTGTATGAAGAAGTGATTGTGTTGAAAAGGAAAGAAAAAAAGAGAAACTATCGAAAAATCATCTACTCACCGTTACCTTTTATTTATCTCCCAGAATATTTGTTTATATATTTAATATGTTTTATATGTGTAATTAATTTATTTTCATCCTCTTACTTACTTTATACGGGTTGTTTATCATAAACCCTTAGAAGCTCATCTTTGAAGTAGTTTATTTACCCAAAATAAAGTTTTATTTATTTGTCTAGTCAAGTATATCCTCCCTCTCTTGTTTGTTTGTTCGGTTATTTATAATACAACAAAGTAGCGATTTTTTTCTGGATTTAAAGTAAATCATAAATTGTTTTTCAACACTTATTTTTTTTTCATCTAAAATCAATAGAATATTTTCTAGAAGGATATGATATTTATGAATTATGAATCCGCTTATAACCGAATATTGATTGACCTTATAACCAATTAATGCTGAGGTAATATTTCTCCTCCTTTCACAGCTCCTCCAGGTCCTCCAAAAATCATCACTCCTGAAACAAATCATGTTTTCATAGAAGGCGAAGAATTACGTGCAATTTGTATTACTTCACCGCCTGGAAAACCTTTAGGTGGACTTTTTTGGAGATGGTTAGTTCAACCGAGTCAAGTTGATGATGATGAGATTCAAAGGATTAGTGGTATTGGAGGGAAAGGTGGTGCTAGACTAAGTGACTATACTTCAGTTGATGCTTATTTACGCAGTTTAGATGCTGGTGGATTACCACGAAATCCAGAACAGTCTAGTCAATTAAGACCGGGAGATTTGATTTCTGAAGATGTTCAACCATTACATTATTCGCTGACTAAAGAAAAAGACCAACTTGTGAATACATTGACTATTCAACGAATAAGTCGAAGATATCATGCTGCTAAACTTGTTTGTGAAACAGGACATCCAGTGGGTACTGCTCATCAGACAAGCATTACTGTATATGTAAAACGTGAGTTTCATTTTCTTTGGATTTCTAGTATGCTGTTGAGAATTTCTAAATATATATAGATCGAATTTTGTTTTTTTCCACTTATCTTTTATCAACAGATTAAATGTCGAATTACGTAAATTTTACTGAAGGAATCTGCTTTTCTAACAGTGAAGCTGATATTTCTACATCATTCTTGCGAAGTGCTCTCCTTATGGCTATCTCACAGGATTAATGTACAACGAAAACCTATATAAAAGGAATGAAGGCACTTTTAAAAGTTTTTGATTGGACACTAGTAACTAGTGTGACGTGTCTAGTCCTTTCTTTGGTGCAGACTGAATTCTATCAGTCAATTTTGCAATGTGGCCACCATTCTGGGTAACTCGCCATCACGGTGCACATTGATTTGATGATATTAGATGGTTGGAGGCAATCGCAATCGAGTGCCATTTAGCTCGGAACCTAGATCCAAGGCTTCCTGGCGATTGCCTCCAACCATTCTAAATAACAATTAAAGTTTCTGTGGCCTGTCATCTGTAGGACTTACGCCTACACTCATCTAGAGGTTTATAGTGATAGGTTGATCTCATATTCATTAAAAGGAAACCTAACCAACATCTTACTCTGAACTTTAGTTATTTTATTGTTTGATAACGTATCAGTCAATCTAAATACGCACCCCAATTTCTTGAACTCTCTTTTATTAGTCTGACTATTTGAATAAAATCAAATTCTTTTTTTAAACAGCTTTATAGTGTCCAAAGTAAAATTTCACAGGACAAGAAGCTTGACAGATATATATATTCTAGCCTTTCTGATATTTTACTTCAGTCCTTTCTAATTCTTTCATTTTTTACCGATTTATCAAAACTGCTAAACTGTTTTATCTTAACGATAGCTTTGAACGGGATATCAGTCGTGATATATGCAAAAAATCCTGAAAAAAACATGTGATGATATGATGATATCTTGAAAGGTAAATTTTACCAACCACAAATTAGGTAATGATGTTTTCGGGGAATCAGATCACTAACATCATTGCCACAAACATAAAAGTGTAAGAAAGTATTTTCAACTTGATGATATGCGAGTCAAAATATTAAGCATAAAAAGTAGTTTCAACTAGAATTCTTTTCAATGTTTATCCGAAGTTAAGGGGAAACAAAACCAATAAATGAGATAAACATGAAAGTTACTCAGTTGGTCTAACCTGCAGAAGTCCTAAGACTACAATATTGTAGTTCAAATGTAGTCACAATTCTGAATTTCTCGGTTAAGGAATGTATAACTGTTCAAGCTCGAAAACGTACAGCTAATTTTGGTTACAACCGTTAATTTTTTATCAAATATAAGCATCAACCAGAGAGACCAATGAAAACCAAGGAGCACTGAACAGCTGTTTAGATCAATTCTAGGAGTACACATCCACAACCTCCCTGGAATCGAACCCGGTACCTCCAGGTTACGAGGTCCGTGAAATAAATCTAACAATTGTAATCAATATAATCTCCAGAAACTAATTTTGGATGGATCCACAAAGCAGCCTCAAGAATATTGATGTAATGCTCATAAGGGTGAGATCTAAGTCACAAAATCCTGGACTACTCAGAGTTCCTATAAAATGTCTTCAAACAAGCTGAGACTTGAAAGACACCAGTAATATGATATACATCTGTATCACTCATGACTCTACAGTGTGATTTATCTTTCTTTAAATTAGTTTCACGATATGTAGTCAACTAGATTCAAGAAAGCTGTTGATTATCTTCTTCAGAATAAAGTAGAACGGTATGATTTACTTTCTATAGACGTACATAAATATGCCTGAAGACCGATGGCCTACACATTCACTTAAAAATCTGTCTTTCAATGCATCTACATCACAGCTTACCTTCACTGTCTTACTTCCTTTTCGGGGTCAATTCTCCTAACTCTAAATTCCCTTTAGTTAGGCTAATTCCTTTTACTAAGGAATATTTAAAAGGAGCTTTCAAAGAGCTTATTAGCGAGTGAACATTTCACCAAAGTGCACAGGGTTTGGAAAACACTATCATATGATTGTTCAACTGAATTCTGCTTTCTTTTTCTATGCCTTCTGTTTGATCTTGAACCAACGGTGTCTAACGGATTAATTAATACAGTCATACAGATAAAGCAATGATAATATGATAAATCACGCATTACAAATGTTCCTTCAACCAAACAAAACGACACATACAAACTGAGTACTGTTTAATGTTTACTTAGATAAGATATGATATTATATGAATCGATTACACTAACATGAAGGAAGACATTAAAAAATTTCATTTAAGATTTAGAAAATAGTTTACACATAGACTGTCAGTGTATAAATCTAGTAGAAAACCACTGTTGACTTCCATCAGAAATCTTACATATATATATGTATACATCCAACATCCGTTTCCTGTGTGCATAGAGACTTTTAAAAATAGCTCTGACCAGACATACCCATGTTTACAGATGTATTGTAAACTGACATTTGACGTTGATAAGCCTATAAACGTGCTAAATTTTTACAAGATAGTATAACAATAATGTATTATGGAATTAACACCTTAAAAATCCTGCCTACTGTTTACTTCAGAAAATATAGTGAAAAAAACCCTCAAAGATTTGCATTAAAGTTGCTTAGCGATGTTGTCACTTAACCAAGACCAATGGTATTTAAGTGACAGATTACATATTGTAGAAGTATGCTATGCATACACACTAACGAATGCACTGAGATCTAAAAGTCCGTAAGAGTTCAGTACCTAAGTCAATATACAGCTCACTGTAGTATCTCTGCTGTAAGCCGCTGTAGTAACATAAATTTTGACCAAGTAAGCAACAAAATTGCTAATCCTCCCGTCTGCCATTGGTTATAATTGCGAATACTTATATGCCAAATCATATGCGGATCAAACTGTATCTGTACGCATCATCATCGAACACAGCATAAAATGACACTCGAATCTCTACCTTAACTCCGTTGACTTTGAAGAGGCTTTCGACAGTGCTGACAGCGAAGTAATTTGGAAACTACTTCAACACTATGGAGTACCCCAATTCCTTATCAATTTCATTCAACAGCTCTGTGATAATGACATATGTCAAGTGATCCACGACATCTAAGCCTTTGAAGTGAAGACAAGATAATCGTGACTGTGGGGACTGGATTATGCGTCAGACTGTAGGGAATGAGGAGACAGGAAACTCTGGACTGAAAAGTAGACGTTATGTGTAATTTCATACAAACTTTCAGATCAACAGGCAAAAACCAACAAGCTGGAGGAAGATATAGGCAGCAAAGATAGGAATTCGAGTGTACATAGGAAAAACGGAGGGAATGGAGATAACCAACCAACAGCAACAATCACTAATGACTATCAGTTAGAGAAATGAAAAAGAGGTCACTTCTTTCAATTATCTAGGCAGCATTCATTCAACTACAGGTGAACTACGCGAATGAGGATGTCAAAGCCAGACAGACCTTCACCACTCAGTAGTCAGTTTGGTAAATTACTACAATCAGCATAAACAATGGAATTCGAATTTTCAACACTGTCGAATGAGTGTTTCTATATGGATAAGAAGAGCGTTTCCAACAGGCTTCAGGCTTTTATCAACAGTTGCCAGAAAGGATTAGCAACAAGAAACCCTGGAAACAAACCAACGAATAATATTTCCTTATTGCTCAACAAATACTCTGAAGAAAATGGGAATGGCTTGGATTTACTATGAGAAGACTGTTCATTGACATCGCGCACCAGGCCCTCAAGAGGAACCTGAACTGGAAAGGACGATTTGAGTTGTGCTCCGAGTGTGACATGGAGGAGATCATGTGAGGAGGAGATAACAGCCTGTGGATAATCGTAGGGCCTGCTAAAGAGGACTGAATAGTACAGGACAAAGTGGATAAGCGTTTTTGAATTCTTGTGTTCCACTTGGAACCCAGGGGAATCAAAATATTATTTTAATATGCCACATCATCGTTGTGGAATATTTTTTGTGTTTTTCGTTTCTATAGGTAAAGGTGTCTTTTAGCAAATACACAAGAATACTGATTAATTTAACTTAACGACTAGTTCATATTTCTTCCACTTCTAACAGAATATGCACTAGGGGATTATGTACTATCAAGTAATCTGAGTATGCCTGAGTTAGAAACATGTTGTCCTATAATTAAGAAATTCGATACCACTGGTTTTGTGCTGCATAAAAATGTGTGGCCTTCGGTAACAAATTTCTGAAATAGCTATAGTAAATTTCTATAAAATTCCACATCCAGGCTGTAGTTAATTTTGCCTTATTTGTGAAGTGAGAACTACTAGTATAACCAGCTTATTTACGTAGCTGTACACTTTCAGAGTAATTTAAACGATGCATCTTAATGAATAAGACCATTTTGAGTTCTAAATATAAGCAACATTTGTTTGTTGATTTTTTTTAAATTCCTTTACATTCCCGGTGGAACATAGGGCTTCAAGCTACAGCTTTGAATTTTCGGTAGCAGTGGTATTTATTTTTACGGGGTGGACTTGCTATCCTCACGCCAACTTCCCCTCTTTACCAGACTTGTTATTGGCTTAGTGAGGTAAGAGAGTGCGTCGGCCTGGGATCGAATCCCGAACTACCTAGGTGGTTGGCGAGCACTCTATCGCTGTTGATTAGAACACCTTTATTTTCGAGCAAGTCGGCAGTTGTTTTCAGCTTCTTTTATCGCTTAGTATTGGAATTTATGCTATTCATCGTTGCTCCAATGAATTTATATAAAATCTTAGAATCTTGATGAAGACTCTTCATATTAAATGAATCTACCTGCGAGTTAACGTGTCATTTTAGTTTGTAAATTATTTGATTGTGAATACTGTTCATTCAATATTTCAGTAAGCTACAATGATATACTACAAACGCTCGATCATTATTTCTCATTACACTCAATGGATTTATATTTTGCTCTGTATGCGAATAGACTTTCATATTCATGGAAATTATTTTTTTCAATACTGTCT